TTTCCCTTTATAACTGTAAAATTTTAACAAGAACCTATAGAAATCAAACACTGAGGAAAAGCCCTGGTTCGTAAGTCTTATCAGACAACTGAGATGAATATAATTAGTTCATTCCATAAGACCATGGTAGCTAATTTCTCCAAGAATTGAAGTTTCACTAGGATTATGCTCATAAACCTGAAATTATTAGGAAAGAATGAAAAGACATATATGCTCCCACCTCTCCCTTGCTCCATGAAACCTGAGTTTCACACCTATAGAACTTACATGTAAAAAGTAATATATAACTTGTTTTTTCAGTCCTTACCTGTAGCAAGCAACGATCTCGAAATGTGTATCCTATCAATTTGTCCAAATGCATCAGACATTGATGATAGCGAATATGGTGGGTAAGGACAGGAAGCATCATTGCATGCTAGGAATACAAATTGCCATAAGGAAAAATGTTCATTAATAAAACACAGAAAACCCTCAGAGTGAGAAAAACAACATAAAAAAAGTTTTGCTTATTATGACATATGAGAAATGAACTAAAAATTGGCCCCTACATACTCCATCATCAACACATGTAACTAACTAGAACCTATCCATGTGTCGGCAAGGTAACGATTCAACATGCAAACGTTACCCGGATTTTGCTATATTAAAAAAGACTGAATGAAGACTAGCATTTGAATCTCTGACTTAACTTTAATTTATATCACATGAACCACAAAAGGTCTCTACACTTGAAAGATAATATAATTAGCTTTTAACAAATGATCCTAAGCACTTATTCCAAATGTTGGCAGGCAGGAGGACTTTGCAATGTAAAGTTATATTCTTATTACTCTTTTGCCTTCATTTCCTTCTGAGAGAGGATTCAGAGGCCAATGCTTTTAATTATTGTAAAGTACTGTACTTGGGTAGTGCCTGAGCTATCACATGCTAAAAAGAAGCAGTATGGCAGTTGTACAAATTTACCTATATGCAAGCCTTTTGCTGAATAGTATAATGGTATATCTATGAGGGGTTTGTTGTGTTTTTGGGTTTGAGGTTTTTTTTTACTGAACAAATGGGTGAACACTGCAAATATGTTGACAAGTAAACTGATAAGAAGAGATTGACTTTTATTAGTAAATGTTTAGGATTGTGAATCCAAAAAAGCTGACAAAGCCGGTAGGGAAATACATAGCGCCCGAGCGAGGGACTAACAATGGAAGGATGGGGCGAGGAGGGGAACGCAACTAGGTTACAGGAGATACAATGTTAGCCAACTAAGCCCGAGGGTTTGCAATGCTTAGAGAGAAAGAAGATAGATACACACAAACCCGTTACAATGGTCCACAATGGTGGAAGAAGTGGTCCGAAGAAAAAGTGTCTCAGTCCATATACAGTCTCATCGCGGGGGTCCTCTTTGGGGGGAGGGGGGTTGTCCATTGTTGAAGAATCCTCTCGAAGCAAAGATCCATCTGTTGCAGAGGGGGGTTCAGGCGGTCCCCTCTGGGTCCGGTCTGGCGGCGGTTTGTCTGGTGGGGTCGGTGTACTGGCGGTGGCCCGTGATGTTTTCCACGTAGATATCATGGGACCAAAGGATGGTGTTGGACACCATGAGGCAGCGCATGAGTTTGGCGTAGCGGCGGGAGACGTAGCAGGTACGCAGGACACTCTCGTTGCTGGGGTCCCAGGCTCCAAGCATTCTCACGATGAGCGCGCTGACCGTCACGTCATAGCCGCGGCCCCTCAGGATGTCGGCTAGCAGGGCGTACTTCTCCCGCTTGAGAGCCCGGGCGTCGGTGAAGGCTTGGCGCCAGTTCTCGAAGGGGATGGTAACGTCCACGATCACGACCTTCTTGGCCACCTCGTTGGTGATGACTATGTCGGGATGCATCTGGGCAGGTCACGAACACCTCCCCCGCTGCGGCCGGGATGGCTCTCACCAGGCGGTCCTGGACAGCGTTGTGGCAGAGCTGCCAGGCTCTGGCATGCGGCTTGTAGCTGCCCCGCACGCGGGGGGGCATGTAGCCACACCGTCGGCACCTCTTGTCGCGGTGGCCGAAGCGGACGGCCCCGTTCAGAGGCAGGCAGTTGAGGTGGGCGCAGTGGAGGAAGCGCCAGTCCGCGAAGCGTGTGAAGATCGCGCTGAGCATGAAGTGGTTGCTGGAGTCCCACTTCGAGGTGACGTCAAAGACCTTGCCCTGGTCCAGTTTGGCCCTCAGGTCGCCGGTGTACTTGTTTCGGACGGCGTCCTTCAGGAACCTCTCCAGGAAGGTCCTCGTGCGGGCTGTCACTGTCACGAGGTCGGCACGCGGGGCTGGTTGTAAGGAGACTCCCAGCTCCCGGCACTCCTTGGTCCAGGTCCAGGCGCAGCCGATGCGCTTCCTGAGGCGGCACGGGGCGTTGCGGGCTCAGCTCCACAGCGAGGCAAAGTTGATACAGTTGGAGGCAAAGGCTACACTTGATCTGAGCCTTCAAGAGGACTTGATTACTAAACTACTGAAAAGACAAGGCTTATAGTTTCATAGTAGCTAGGGTCAGGAGGGACCCGAACAAATCATCTAGCCTGACCCCCTGCCACAGGCAGGAATGAATCAC